TTGTTGTTGTTGTTGTTGTTGTTGTTGTTGTTGTTGTTGTTGTTGTTATTGTTGTTGTTTCCCTTGGATGTTCTGAACAACAACAAGACACCCTACTCGATCGGTTTCTCGCGGGAGCTTGGTTTTCATTCAAGAAATCACGACAGGGCCACCTGCCTTTTTTTTGTGAAAATCACTTAAGGTAAATAATTTCTTGGATGAACAACAAAACCACCCGTTCTTTCACCCTGGGATGAGCATCGCCCCCGGACTTGGGCTTCTTCTCGGACATCGGTTGCAGGAGTTCTTGTGGAGGACCTTTCATGGCTTCTCTGACTGGGTGGCTGACGCGGCATACAAGAACACTTTGTTTTTTTGCGGCCAGTGAGTATTTGCGGGGCATGCACCCGGTTCGCCAAAATGTTTTGATTTGATTTTGCAAGATGGGTTTAGTCTTGACATCACATGCATGCTATCCAAACACTATGCCGCAACTAGCTTTCAGTGAGAGGGTTCATGTGTTGCTTTATCATACCGGTCTGGAGATACAGGGTGCCCAGCCACTTTCATGGATTTGAGCACTCCGTGACCCACCAAGGGAACTCTTGGGTGAAAAGTCCCGTCAGGCTGCAGTGATTGTTTGGGGCACCTTCCATATCAAGCTCCACTTGGCAGTTTCTTAGCATGTGTTGCTTACCATGAAGTTCACTTCTTGACTGCCCTATTCGCAGCAATCTTAGACACTCGAAACCCTTTTGGTGCATGAGAACTATCACACCTAAAGATTTAAACTCAAACCATATAATAGATCATAGATCGCTATTGAATGTTACACAACTGACATACCTGTCTTAAGAATTCTTAAAGTACAAGTCCGTGTATTTTCCGAATCGTCCAGAGACTGACAGTCTGGATCCTCATTCCTCCCACCTTTCCCATGGGGACCACACGTAATGAATCACTGGCCCAGTCTCGTCACCCAGACCGATGGAATCCCATCGATCTATGGAATCGTTCTGGCCTATTTACCTAATGTAGACTCTTGATTAATAAACAACCCCGTATATGAAGAGGTGCTTCCATTGTTCCGATCCTGATGCAAGCCCATTGGTGTGCGGTGGAGGTTCGCAGACAGGGCAGCCAGATCCATCTCACCCTCCATCAAGTGCATCCAAGATTTCATCTTAGACTTGTTCGCATTTTTGCGAGACGTCTGGACACCACTCCGGCACGTATTCAGTTTGACGCTCCGGTCGATGTTTACATTCCTCATTTGTGTGGCTGGATGCTTATTGCCAAGTGGATTGAAGAAGCCAATGTGCGTGCAAACATCCCAGACATGAGTCTCAGAGTGCCCGTTCCGCCTCCAGACACTCAAGACCTCATTGCGTTGGTCATCTCTTCCTCCATCGAGAGCTGGAGAGATGCCCATGCGGATCCGGCAGTTGCGTTGCTGGCTGCTGCTTTGCGCAGATCTTTCTTCTACATGCTTTATGGGGAAACGTTGAGGGGAAGTCCTGCTGCGGAACATGAATTGCTTTCGGCCTTTCCTCGCCATTTCATTCAACCACCGGACCCACCTCAACGGGTAACGCTGGCCAGCTCATCAATGCCTCACGTTATGGAGGCCAGGATCAATGCTCGCCTCGATCATTTCCAGGTGAATGGTGGGTGGATGGCCTCTGACGAGATGGATCATATTTGTGAGTATGCCAAGACTCTCAATCCGGAGATGTTGATTACATCTGCGTGCCTGTGGTGCCCCGTGAGGAATGCTTTGGTCTTTCCTAGTCAATTTCCGCCACAGCTGCGGCCGTATGTGCACATCATTTGGCCAATCATCGTTGGCACTCATTGGATCCATGTGGAGATGTACCGCTCACACCATTTCCAGCAGGTCAATTTGATTGTGGTTGCTCCGCCTGCCATGCAGAGCCAGCTCAACCCTCTCATCAACCATATCATTCGGGCAATTGGTGCACATCCGGCAGGGACCTTGATCACCTACTACACGCAGATTGTGCCCCACAACCTCTGTGGATACGCAGTTGCTATGGAGATTTTTCAAAGGATGGGAGTCACTTTTCCTGAAGTATCCCAACAGATTCAAGACTCCTTGACCGCTTCTGCGTGGCAGCCCAGAATTGCACACCTTCAGCGTGAGGCTCATCAGATCTGGAATGCATCCACAAACAATCAGCAGCTCAAGAGTTTTGCCACCCACGTGAGGACCTCCTTTTTGGCAAAAGTGGTGGTCAACAACTTCCCTCCGGAGTTCTATGCTGCAGGAATGGAAGGGCAGGGTACTGAGTCTACCTCCAGTGTGCCAAAGCCGGTGCCTACACCCTCTGCAACGAAAGAAGATCCAATCTGGGTCAATGACCCTTGGAAGGCCAAGTCTAAGCAGAGACCACAACAGTCTCGCTGGGAGGATCTCCTCCTCAGTGACGACCACCCAATCAAGGGCACAGATGGGAAGTCTATTGAGCAGATCCATCGCCTCCAGGCTTCTCCTTGGAGGGGAGGCATTGTGATGGCTACCAAAGCCCATCTGGCTGACCTTTTGCACTTGGACCCTACCAATCATGACCTGGCCATCGTGCTACCGGCATCGGACCCTGCGGCTTTTGGCCTCCTGGCCTCAAAGCTCATGGGCCCATACGAGGTGGTCCTGAAGGATGCAGTTTCCAATGCCACTTACAAGAGGCTGATCTTGCTCATCGTCGTCAAAGGAAAAGCTACATTCCAGCTGCCAACACCGACTTTGAAGTTCAATACCGTGCAGGTGTCAGAACTGGTCCTTGAGATTGACAGCAGACTGACCCCTCCTTCTGACTTCGCCAAGTTCAAGGAGCAAGCCATTCCGTCCTTTCGCAAGCTGTGTGGTGCCATCGTCAGTGAGAAGGCCTCCGAGATTATCCTATATGGATTCCGGCTTAATCATCACCCATCAGCTGCAAAAGAAGATGTACAATTGCAATGCATTGCAAAAATCCCGCAAGCCATGCGCAAAGGGCTTTTGGAGGCGGGTGGAAGACATACCGTCTTCGTTCGGGACTATCTGGAAAGGGGGCAGGGCTCAGTTGACACTTCGGTCCTGCCGAGATTTTGGAGCCCTACTATCACCGATCTCCAAAATATGCTCATTGCCACAAAGGACACTGACGGTGCGGCAGGCCTGGTGATCACGAAAAGAGGCCTAGCCCTCCGGGTCTGGGCCAGCCAGATTGGGGCAGCACGTTCATCTCTCCTTGCGGGCGATCCCCGCATTACAAAAGACAACAAGGACGTCGTCCCAAAGATCTCGTACGAAGCATCTGGATGGCCGGTCGGCACCACTGCTTCTGATGTGGTGCAGGCCACACTCCAAGCTGCAAAGGCCGCACCTGTCCCTACTCGGACGTTCAGAGTGGCAGGTGTCGTCACCTGGGTCCTGGCGTTCGACAAGAAACCTGCCCTGGAGAAGTTCATCATCGAAGTCAACGGCCAAGCCCATGAGATCCTGCTTCAAGAATGCATCAATGTGGGGCGTGCCAAGCAACCACCTCGCTCCAATGTGCGACCTGGAGGCAAAAATCCTCGTTCGCAGGAGATCAAGCCTCCGCCGCAACCTCAGTTTGTGCCTCGACCTGCTCCTAGTGCTGATGCCGGCCGACTTGACCAACTCGAGGAACGCTTCGGGCGTTTGGAAGCTCGGCAAGACAGATTCGAGGAGAAAGTCGATTCCAAGTTCGATCACATCAGCGATTCACTGAGGCAACTGTTGCAATCCGTAGGGCAGGGCAGAACCCGAGAGGTCACAGGTGAGACCCCGCCGCCAAAGGCGCTTCGCCAGGGTTGACATTTTAGGGCGCTTGTTGGGACAGGTGCCAGTACCGGTGCTTTTTGTCTCGTTTTGCTTTTCGTGTTCCGATGGATGTTTTTGATGCATTTCTTTTTCTTGTCCGCCTTGTCTCAACTTGCGCCGGGTCTGTGTGCATCTGTTACGATGCAATTCAATGGGTACCTTTCCGACAGAGAAGGGAGGCTTTTCCACTGGGTAGAAGGGACGACATGTAACCTTGTCCGGTGGAAGCCGTTAACGTTGAGGTCTTCCTGCTCAAAGCTGGCACTTTGCTTGGTTCTCACTCTGTGTTTTGTCTTGATTCTTCCTTGTCACATTTTGCATTCCAATGCTTCGCAGGGTGCTGAGCTTTCGTTCATAGACCACCATTTTGACATGTGTCACAGGCGACTCTCCTGTGAGCTTCAGCTGCAGCCGAAAATATCTTGCAGTCCGTTCCTCTTTCAAGCAGTCAACCAGCTCGTCTTTTGCCTTTCCGATTCATATTTTCCATTGTTTGATCGCGACCCCCTCGTGAGAAGGGATTTCGACAGTTCTCTGGGTTTCCCTGGTGAAGGTCCCTGTTCTTCGAATTTATGGACTCTTTCTTCCTCCAACATTGGGAGTCTCAAGACCAATTTGGGGTGGAAGCACTCTGTTGATAATGTTCAATGTTTACAAGAAACTAGAATTGGCTGCAACAATATCCGTGTTTCCCGCAAAGCAGTCGAGGAAACTGGTTTAGCCCTTCACATGTGTGCTCCCCTCAAAGGCATGTTCCGCACTGACGGGCAGCACACCACCATGCATGGAGGCACAGCCATTTTGGCTGCCCCCGAACTTTCCTTTCCTTTTGACTTTCTTGAAGACCACACGGGTCTCTACAAACAACTTTTTGATAATCACAGAGCAAATGCTTGCTGGATTCAGGTGACTCCTTCGCAAAAAGCCCTTGTTTTTTCTGTTTACGCCAAAACCGCAGCCTCCGCGGTTTCGGAGGTTTTCGACTACAACGATTCTGTTTTTGCTGACTTGTTGACTATCTGTTCGCAGTTCGGAGAAATCCCCATCATCATTGCAGGGGATTTTCAGTCCAATCCCCTCCATTACCCTTCGCTTTCGCATGCAGTTAATTTTCACGGGTGGTTTGACCCGCTGTCTCAATCGGACTCTTCTGGTGAAGTCTTCAGACCCATGACCTACTCGAAAGATAGTTCCTTTTCTGGCTTTGGTGATTTTTGCTCATCAATCGATGGCATCCTTCTCAACACAGTTGCCCATTCTGCCCTTCGGTCCATTGAGGTTTTAGCTGTGACCGGGGTTCAGCACCGACCGATACGTGCTTCTTTTTCCTGGTCCTCAATTAGATTACATGGTTTCACACAGTGCAAATTTGCCCCGCTCGAGGTCAATCACCTGAGCAAACCTGGGATTGATGTTCACCACCCTTCTAATGTGATTGCTTCAAACCTTTGGGACGATTCCGTGGCCTCTTGCTTTGAACAAGCCACCGAGCCGGAGAATAAATGGGATATCATTAACAAGTTTTGTCTTGATACTTTGGTTCAAAGTGGCGCCACCTGGGGCCCAGGTCCACGGTGTCGAGGTCAAGCGCCCATTCTCGTGGCCAAACAGTTTTGCCCCGGTCAAGCAAAAACCCGGTCCGCCCTCACGTTGCGTGGCTCCTGGTTTCAGAACACGCTTGCAAGGTTGTGGGAACTGTCTACCCGTCTGCAACGTCCCATCTCAAGTGTCGCTGATGAACACATTCTCACACGTACGGCTCTCAAAGCGTGGAAGACACTTCACGTCCTTAAGTCCCCTTTTGTTTGGCTTATACCCAAGACTCCCAACTTGGTCGACATCCAGCAGAATATCCAATGGATTCAATTTCAACTCCAAGCATGGGACTTTCGTAAGCGGCAGCAACGCATCCAAGCCTGGAAAAGTAAGGTCAAAGCATCAGCTGTGGGTGACCGTAAATACATCTTTCATCACCTTAAGAGTAAGGTTGCCGATGAACCTTCCAACCTTGTTCTTGACGCCAACCGTAACATTGTTTGCCAGCCTAATGAGGCTCTTGCTTTGATCAATTCTCAATGGGACGACATTTTTGCTTCGAACATGTTGCATGACGACCCCATTTCGATTCTCCAAGTCGCCTGGCCATACATCCAGAAGGATTGTGTCCCATGGCAAACACCTCCCTTGACGGGAGCTGATCTCGCAGTGACTATTGCCGCTCGGAAGCCTGAAGCTGCCGCTGGTCTGGATGGGTGGCGAACCACCGACTTGCAGTTTTTACCTCTTTGCTGCTTGAATGCCATTGCGACTTTCTTTTCCAGGCTGGAGGACTCCTGCGGTGCGGACATTCCCAGTGTCCTCGTCAGGGCAAAGCAAATTATTTTAAATAAGGCAGGACCATCGTCGCCGCTCAATAAAAGATTAATTACTATTTTTTCTCCGATGTTACTTGCATACACGGGCACAAGATTCCGTCACCTCCAGGAGTGGCAAATGGCAACCATGCATGCATCTCTGTACGGAGGAATACGGCATCGCTCAATGGCGTCGGTCAGCACTGGACTCAGGTTGGACATGGATGTGGCTCAATCCACCTCTCAGCCGCTTGTTGGAATTAAATTGGACCAATCGAAATGCTTTGATAGAATCATTCCGAACGTTGCAGGTACTTTTATGTTGGCTCTTGGTGTCCCTAAGGGAATTGTCAACACCTTTTTGATGATGTATCGGGGTCTGACCAAGCACCTCTCCTATCGGGGGTGGATGTCTAAGACACACACCACCATTGCCAATGGGGTTGCCCAGGGATGCTCCATGTCTTTGGTTGCAATTAACGTTTACATGCATGTCTGGGCCTGCTTTGTCGAAAATATCCCCCATGTTACATCGAGGGTTTTCATCGACGATGCCTACTTGTGGGTGAGGTTGATACACATCCATCATTTGCAGACGGCTCTTCAAGTTACAATTGTGTGGGGTGATCTTGTCGGTCAACAACTGAATACAGGTAAAAGCGTTCTCTGGGCCACATCAGCCCTTGCTCGGAAACAAGCCAAGAGTGCATTTCCTGCGCTTCCGCTTTGCCTTGAATTTGACGTTTTAGGTGCGAAGATTTACACGTCTAACAGGGACGCGTTCATTTTCGATGCCAATAAGACTTCGAAAGTAGTGGCGGACATTAGAAACATCTCAAACTTACCTGTCCCCCGAGTAGTCAAGGGCCAACTACTTGGGGCAAAAGTCCTTCCGCAACTTTCTTTTGCAGCACACATCTCGAAGATTCCGAAACAAGCGATTGATAAAATCCGAGGGGAACTCGTCCAAGTTTTTTGGGATAAGCGTCCCCATTGGAGGTCGCGCATGTTGGTCTTCGCCCTTCTGTCTCCTCCCCACAGAGTCGAGCCTGTGTGTGCAAGGGCTTACTGTTGCATCCTTGATTTTTGGCGCTTCATACATTCACATCCCGAGAGAAGTCATCAGTGTGTTGAATTGCTTTCTCAGTCAGCATTGCCAAAGCATGCACTGTTGAACCAGGTTCAAGAGGCATTGTCCGTTTTTCACCTTTTCTTGTCTGCCCAACTTGAGCTTGGATTTGGAGATGTGCGCATTCCCGTTCTCCACATTGGAGTTCATGATTTAAAACCACTTCTTCAGAACCTTGCCATTCAATATTGTTATGAACAGGCGGGGAAACAATCCCGCAAAGACCTGTCTAAGCCTCAAGGTTTCCTTGACATTTCTTTGTTTCGCACTTTTTACCATTTGTACCCACGTCCATATGACAAAAGCCTTGACCTCACCTGCCATTTCGACTCACAGAGTGTTGGCTGCACTATCACGAATGATCGACGCTGTGCTGCTGGGTATTGTGACACAAATGCATGTCGGTTCTGTGGTCTTCCTTCAGAATCTATGTTGCACTTGATTACCGAATGTCAAGGGCCCCTCCCAATTCAAGAACCACCGGCCCATGACTTCGGGCCTAATTTCCGTTTATTAGGCTTATTCGATCATCCAACTGCGATTGCTCAGCATCGGTTGGAGTACAAACCTGTACCTCCACCACAACACAACTTTGATCCACAAGCTCCGGTCACTAAGGTCTGGACTGATGGGTCTGTGTTTTTTAGTGCAAACTTCTGGCTTACGGCCGCAGAATACAGTGTCATCTCTCAAACAGGTCTCTGTCTCGAAGCGGACCGAGTCCATTCGGTGAAGCTCTCGTCATATGCAGCGGAACTGTTTGCACTTTTAAGAGCCTTTCAGCGATCCAACTCAGCAGTTCACGTACACACCGACTGTAAAACCATCGTCGATCAGTTCCGTGTCATGTGCCGGTCCAACTGCATTCCGCCCTCCTGGTCACATCGTTTCTGGTGGGACTCCATACTTAGAACATACAGGGCTCGATCTGAGTGCCACGATCAGCCACTCCAGGTAACGTGGATCCCTGCACACTTAGGTGACAACTTTCCATCCACGGAATTGACTGAGGAGTTTGCCATCCGTCATGGCACCACGCTGGAGTCTATTCGTCTGAATAGAGTCGCAGACATTTATGCCAAACAGGTGGCAATGAAAGCAGCTGCTGTTCATCCTGAGGACTTTCACATGCTGCAACAGGCTGTCTATCAGAGACAATTGTATTTAGCCAGATGGAATTTCCACATTGGCAATGTCTTATTTCATCCTGAACATGAACCAGAGGAATCCCAGCCGCAACTGTCGCCTCTCGAGGCTATGAAGAAGCGTTTTCCTAAATGGGATTGGGAGCAGCCAGCCTCCTCCTTTACATGGACAACCACGGCCTCCCTTGACTGTTCAGCAGGTTGGTTCACCAAGCTCCAGCCGGAGGACATTGCTACATTCTTCCGGTTCATGCACAGTCTTCAATGGAGAGTTGAGGATTCTGTGAAGACGGCATATGTTGAAATCTCGTTCTTGTTCTGGAAACGTGGGTATTTTTTACATGATATCTCAGCCGGTGGCCACACTTTTCGCGATCTTGTTTTCTGGATCCGACGCATGTTGGTTTTTGTACAGAAGAGACCTAATCACCAGATTTTCCCAGGGAAGGCTTGCAACTTCACCCTCAAAACTGAGGGTAGGGCCCTTCCGCAAGGCGCCATCATCGGTGCTATTCCACGTTTTTCAATTGATGAGTTGGTTGACTTCGGGGAGCTCCTGTGTGGGGGATGTACGAGATCCCTCACTTCCTGGGAGTTCCCTATTTGATGTCGTTTTGTTTTTGTTTTCGGCTGCTCCTTTTCTTTGGTACATGTGATGCCGTCTGACCTGAGTGTCAGCAGCACCGCTTTTGATCCGATCCACAAGGGGTCATCGTGGACGGCAAGCGAGAGGGATAGAAGAGGTGCTTCAATTCCATCGGGGGGGGCTCTATGAATCAAGAATCAAGAGTCTACAGAGTCTACTGTCCACCTTGGGCTGGTGGAAAGGGGGATCACTTTTTGTGGCATCTATTCCAGTCCCATTCACCAAAGTCTATTCCAGTCTATTCCAGTCCCATTTCCGGTTTGGTTCCGTTGGTCCGACGGCTCAGCTCGAACCGCCCAACCACCCACGAGCCAAGGCTTTGCCCACGGCCAAGGTGTGCGAGGTGCGCTGGAGTGGACCTCACCAGGGCTTGCGCGCGCACGTGGACCGCTACCGCAACAGCCCGGCCTCCCGCCCGCGACTCGCGCGTCGCGGCGTCGTCGCGACGGGCGGCCCTCTTTTGGGAAGAAAGAAAGAAGGTCCAGCAGTTGAATGCAGTTGATGTGGGAGAACTTCTGCAACCAACCCAGCCGACCAAGTGTGGGAGTGAAGCAGGTTCGGGAACCACGGCTGGGTTTGGCACAATTGGCACCTTAGGTGATGCACAAGAGTGTGCCAGATGATTACAAGCCCATGATCTTCAAGGATGGCGTCCGGAAAGCCTTCCCACGCCCCACCAAGAAGGTCAAGGCACCCTTTGATCGTCGCTGGTGACTGCACTTGGGCCGCTTGGGTCGCTCAGCAAGCAGATTTGGGGCTGGTGGAAGTTGCGGAAGATGACCTTGTTGACCTTGAACGGGGGTGTTGGGCATTACATCTACTGTTTTGTTCATCAAGTGGGGACTTTGATGACCTCAGCTTCCATCACAACGTCAGCTTCCACACGTCTGTGAGTCTGGTGAACGGCTGTGCTCAGGTACCTGATACCTAAAAGAAACAACTCAAACAATTCAACAACCTTTTCTTTCCGAGGTCAAAAGCAAGGTCCCGACCACCTTGGTACAATATGCGAAGTCACTTACCCTTCCAGGACCATCCGTTGCTCGGATGTCCTGAGGTCCTCCCAGTTCGGCCCTCCGTTCGGAGGGTCCGAAGGCCGCCGGTCGAGTCGCACATCAAAGCCCCCCGCAGGACAGCCCGAGAAGAAGAACAGATGTATGATCCCTCCAGGTCAATGACCTCATTTTACTGGACGTGGTCATACAAAAAACATCAAAAAACCTACTTAATGAGGTAAAAGACCAGGTTTTACTGGGTCAGACTGGACTTGTAGGGTTTTGTAAGTTATAAGTTATGTATATATATATATACATGTCGTGCTTGCCCCCCAAAACGAACTGGTCAATCGTGGCCAAACCGTTACATTAAGCATTGAGTATTGGAGTGCCCGGGTCACGGTCACCGGTCACGGTTCGGGTCCGGCAGGGGGAAAACCCGCCTGGTCGACGTTTTAGGTTGAATGCCGGCACCAACGTGTTGGACGGCTTGAATTCGTTCCGTCGCGAGGGACAACACGTGAGCGAAGCCAACTGGTTTGCCCCATCCCAGATGAAGCCGCCTTGCCCATGGGCATTTCCCACAGATCCATCACAAGACATGTACAGTCGTGAAAGGTCACCTCTAGAATTGATGTCCGGCTATGTCTTGCTTATACGCATTGCTTGTGGTGACACGTCGCCTGCGGAAAACGCATTGTTTCATCTCAACACTGCTTATACGCAGGGCTCCTTCAAGGGGTCGAAGATTCCGAATGAGGTGACCGATCGGAGAGTGGGTTGAATCGGATTCACTGGGTATGAGCGACTTACAGATCTTTGTGCAGAACGACTGATGATGTCGTGCCCAGATTTGCTGCGCGGTTTGGATTGTACAGAACGGCTTGAACGGCGAGGGCGTGCTCGCTGTTTCCGTGCTCCGGATCTGGAACTGAATCGCATGGCCACAACTCATGGTTTTTGTACAGCACCGATGAGTATAGAACAAGGGTTCTTCCGGCCACAAAAGATTGATCGCAGTTGTTCATGTGTTTTCGTTCCATTTTTGTTGCCACGACGCGACGGCAATGCGACGTTTGAATGAAGTTAGACCCCCTTTTTTTGTTGCACCCCCAAGGGGACCAGAGTTGCAATGGACGTAGGTTGCAGCACGTTGAGGAGACGTTTGCCCAGGAATCGAGTGGTTTGGGGGGGCGCTCGTTTAATTAACCATTATACAGGACAAAAATTGGTTGAGGTGCAAGTTTTCTGTCACCCAAAGCAGTGAGAAATGCAATCCCACACTCCATGGGACTATATGGGACTGCCATAGGACTGCCGATCAGTTGGGGTGGTTGACTGGGGGTCAATGTATGCATATATGGCAGTCCCATGGAGTGTTTGGGAATGATGGTTGATGAAATGACACGAAACTTACATCCACCAGTGGCTGTGATAACCATGGGGGGCACTACGCTGCAACTACGTCCATGCAGGTCCCGCTGCAAGAAAAGCCACCTTAAAGTTCTAGACCCCTCTCCTCCAAACTGAATCAATTGTCAATGACTTTTCTGTTTATTTGTTTGGTGGTCAACCCCTATGTCAACCACCATGCACTTGCAAGTTAAGCCAAGAATCTTGAGGAGGACCTCCCTGAAGACATCCCTCGAGTACAGTTAGGAGAGGTCTTAGCCAAGAAGAGGTAAACTCCAGCTAATACCAACATCCACCCATACCAGGACCTTCCAAGTTCGGTGGTTTTTGGACCTAAATCACCTCACAGAGAGGCTAATAAATATCTCCATGAAACAAAAAAAGAAGAAAACGACAACTCAATCCTCGCCCACTTTCAGGCTCCTTAGTGCATCCGGTCCGTGTGCCCATTGTCAGCTTTTTGGCGGAACATGGCTAGGAAGCCCAGGGAACGAAACGGATTGGTGTGTGGTTCGGTGGCCAAGTCGAAGAGCTCCAGGACAGCCAGGTCGAAGAGCTCGCAGAGGTGTTCCCAGACCTTCCGGTCCATGTGCTGGTTGTTTGTGCTGGCATCGCTCTGGTCCTTTTGTGAGCATTTGTTGGTGTGGTTTCCTGCTGTTTTGCATGGGCCCTTGGTAGGTGAAGCCGCACTTTTGCAACATGACTTAGTGGTAGTTTGATCCTATCCATGGAAGGGTATGGTGCATTGAGTATATTGAGTGATATATGATGTTATTCACTGCAAGGGTTACGTAGTTACTTACGTAAACGTGTGCCCACCTGGGGGTGCAACACCCATGCCTCGGCCGCGGTGTGAAGGAAAAGCGTCTCAAGCTGAAGCCTCGGATGACTGCGATCTCTTTGGGGCGACAGGCGGCTTTTGGAAGAAGAAAGGGTGTCTTAATAGGGAGGTCCGAATGGGTATTGGTGGTTGATTTTTGCGTGGAGATCATGGGGCGTAATAGGTGCTTAGGCCATGGTAGGCCTGTTCTTACAGCTATGTTGAGTGCAGGGCAAGCTTGGGCGCACCGTCGTCACCGTCGTCAACGCCTTGGAACATTTTGGTTCAAGAGCAAAACACAGCCACTGGTGTTTCTGTCCCAGACTGGTGAAGCTCTTGTATGTGCTGCCATAGGAAGCCGTACTTACCCCGGCTTTCCTATGTGAGGAACCTTTGTTGAGGACGGCCTAGCAGGGCTATGGCCGCTGACGGTCAATACGGGACCCTCACAGTTCGGGTTGTGTTTCCCGTCGGCTTCAGGCTTGACTCCTTGGGCCGAACAGCAGCCTTGACTCCTTGGCCGAACGTACGCCCCTGTTTTTCGGCTGGGGTGACCAGCAGTATTGGGGTGGATAGCAGAGATTAACCACGCAAACGAGAAGGGCTGATGAATTACACTACTGCGATCCAAGATGAAATCTCTAAAATCCAACCGCTGGGAATATTGCAACCTCGAAAGCCATACTTTACAAGGAGATAAATATGTGTCTCACACCATGTTCTGTTCTCCGGGGAAATAAGGTTCACTTTTGGATCATGTTCTGTCATGTTTCCGGGGGGGCGCTTCAGCACCTACTTCAAGGACCGTTTGACCGTTTGCAAAATGCTTTGAAACCCCAAGTAGCATCTCGAAATCCAACACGTTGGTCTTCGTGAGGCGCTCGGAAGCCCCAGGCTGAGGACTGACTTTCTGGGTTATGCAGGAGCATTTTGGACAGGGAAACCATCGCAAAAGAGGTGCTTTAGAGAGTGTAAGTGAGTGCCCCTATCCTCCATTAGGGTTCCTTTGGAAGTGGTGTGTGTGTATGTTTCATTTTTGTATGTTTTGTTGAGGAGAATCGATTGAACATTTGGATGGTTTTCCATTTCTGGCTGAGCTGTTGTCATGCTCAGATATGGCGCAAGTGCTATTTACAATGTTTATACAAGTTTTCAGAGGCGCACTGTTGGGATGGCAGCAGGATAAAACATGAATTGCTAAAGTATGACTCACCTGCAGAGTTGGATGGCTTTTTGCAGCAACCCAAACATGAGGGTCGTGTCACCGATGTTCAGAAGTCCAGTAAAGGATTCTAAATTGTCCTGATGTGAATCTGAATGTTTTTGTTTGATTTGTGGTTGTTTGCCAAGAAAGGTGTAATTTCTTTGTACTTTGTTTTCGCTGTTGCAATTCTGACGTCAAGGTACTGCAGGTTTTCGGAATGACCCATGGAAACTCAAGTCCTTGTTAGAAAATTGATCATATACATCATATACTTTTGAGATACCGTATTGGGCCCTTCAACGAGCACATGATTGAAATTGTCCGAAGATACAAGGCATATATAATCATATATACCAGCAGCCTCCAACAGGTAACCACCTGCGACGTTTAAGTCTAAGTCTGCAAAAGCCACCATTTCGGAGACCTGTAGTCGGGTGCTGGTATAATACATACATTTTAAAAAATCCTTTTCAATTGATCCTCGCGGGGCAAAACAGCGATCCTCATTGGACTTCTTTCGACTCGACTTTGGGGAAGGCCCACCAGGTGATCCCAGGCATGCCATGGGACAGACATGCCAGATATGCCTACATTGACCCGTTTTCCATTTTGCTCAGCCACCCCAATTCATTGGCAAATATGCCAGTCCGGAGTTTTTGGATGTGTTTGGAAGCCTGCGAGGTGCGAACGTTCCAGCGCAAGTGTGCGGTCGGGTGCACTACTTCGAAGCAACACCCGTAGATCATTCGGAAGAGCTCCGGACATCTACATTGTACGTTTATGTTCCATAGCCTTGTGCAACTACAGATCATTGAGACTCCACTTTCATACTACAAGCGGAATGCCCTGAAGGTACATGAGGGTACAACTCTCTTTTTGATTTGATTTTCCATGTGCCTAAACGGGGCTGTTCACAGCGACATCGCCAGGATCGAAGCCGGAGTCCTAAGGTGAAGGCCTACCGGGGCGGGATGTTCAATGATCATGTGGGAAATAAATAAAAGACTCCAAAACCTCATGCCATCATCTCATGCCTTTCACAAGACTCCGCATCAGAATAATGTTGACTGAGTGCTTTGGCACCCAGATGTTTTTGGTACAACGCGAATTGGCTGATTCGAACTCAGTATGCACATCAAGAAACACTACTCCTTAGAGAATCTATCTGCCACATGCTCGCATGCTCGCATGCTCTCGTTCAGGTTTGAGGTCCATTTTCCGGTGCATGGTAGACATGTTTCAAGCAACAAACATGCTTTGGCCGAAGATCGAGCGGCTTAAGGCGACCCTGGGGGCTCGGGGCTTGCGCAACTGCACAGAACCGACCGTGATTCTTTGAGCTTCCGTGAAGCGTTCCACGGCAGTTCCACCAACAAATGTATCCCAAACACACCTTCATCTCATGCAGTTTGTTTTGGCCGAGCTCCATTGGAATGGGCTTCATACAGTAATTATATGTGTTTTGTATCTTAAATGTTTCTCTCATGGTTTCACCAGCTCATCCTCCCAGCTCGATTCTTCCCACACATCTTCATGCGTCTTGATGCCGCGTCGATCCAGCACCAACCCGTTGATCCAGCACTTGTCTCTCGCCCAGGGCGAAGATTTGCCACCTGGCTGGGTCAGAGCCCTAGAGCCTTGGCGGCGCCGAGCAGCACCGCAGAACACACGGCAGAACCACGGACGTTCCACGGTGAACCCGTGGTGGTTCCGTGGGCTTCGGAGCTGCGAGGAGAAGAGCTGAGAAGATCTGAAGCAGATTCCCTTCATCATCCAAACCGTCCATGTATGGAAAAATGACCTAGATTCGATGGGGTATACATGGACAACATGTACACTATGTATATATATATAACTACTAAACTTTTCCATACATGGATGGTTTGGGTAGAAAGTGTAAAGAACAATGAATAAACTTTATGCTTTGGATCAGATCAAGTAGAAAACACTCTTGAACACATTGTACATTGTATATGATATTCCAGCATCGCTTCTTTTGATAGATAGATCCTTCATTTGTAATCATTTCAGAACTCGAACTCTTCTATCCACAGCTTATCACAGCTTTCTTCCGCTTTGATCCTCTTTGGGCATGTTCCCCCAACAATCCTCGCCCATGCGACCACGACCACCGACCCCGTGGCATTTTTCCATCGTGCTTCCGTTTTATCTCTCGACGCGCCTTCCCTCGAGGTGAAGAAGGAGTCTCGCTCGAAGCCAGGAGTCTTCTACTATGCCAACGAGGC